GTAAGGGGCTAAGGGTTCCCCACAAGGGGCCTTCCCCGTAAGGGGCCTTCCGCGTAAGGGGCCTTCCCCGTAAGGGGCCTTATCGAAGGGAAGGCCTTCCCCGTAAGGGGCCTTCCCCATAAGGGGCCTTCCCCGTAAGGGGCCTTCAGGGGCCTTCCCCGTAAGGGGCCTTCCCCGTAAGGGGCGGGCCTTCCCCGCAAGGGGCCTCAGGGGGTAATGCAGGATTTGGTCAAAGGCGGCCCGTAGCGCCCCCTCCCACTACTGTACTTACACACGATATTATAAAACCCTAAACCCGCCCAAGGTTGAGATGTGGGTGGGTGGGTTGGGAGAGTGCGTTGAACCTGGGCGCACACCACAACACACGTCCCGCGGGGTGGTGTGCGCGGAACCTTAGGAAACCCTAAACCCTAAACCCTAAACCCTAAACCCTAAACCCTAAACCCTAAACCCTAAACCCTAAACCCTAAACCCTAAACCCTAAACTCAGGGCCTAGGCCGCCCCCCTACAGAAGGGGGGCGGCGCTTAAGCCCTTTGACCTCTATGGCGAAAGTCGACCCAGGTCGCTTGCCCGCCTCCTGCAGCCAGGGGGTCGGTAGCACCCACGATGGGCCCGGTACCGGAGCAGGTTCTCCCGGGGACCAGTACTGGTCCCCTTAAAACCCTAAACCCCAAGGTCTTCACCCTGGATGGCGCTGGCATTCCGGGAGGGGGTACCCCAAGGCCCCCAGGCCAGGAGGACCCGGACCCCTCACCGCAGCGTGTCCAGGGACCAGGGGGCCTCAGGCCAGGCCAGGCAGGACGGGTGCTCAAAAAGGCTTCCTGTTCCGCTGGCCTCTCTGGCCCCCCCCTTGCGCCCCTGACCCCCCCTTGGCCGCCCCTGGCCCCCCCTGGCCCCCCCTGGCCCGCCCTGGCCCCCCCTGGCCCCCCCTGTCCCTGGCCGCCCCTGGCGCCCCGCCGGTGGCCCCCCTGGCCCCCCCGACCCCCCCTGGCCCCCCTGGCCCCCCTGGGCCCTGGCCCCCGCCCTGGCCCCCCCTGGCCCCCCCTGGCCCTAACCCCGCCTGGCCCCCTCTGGCCCGCTCTGGCCCCCCCGGCCCGCCTGGCCCCACCCTGGCCCTCCCCTGACCCCCTGACGCCCTCTGGCCCCCCTTCCTTCCTGGCCCATTCCCTTTGAGCCTCCTGACGCTGGCCTGGCCTGCCCTGGTCCCCCCCTGACCCTGGCCCTGGCCTTCGGACCTGGCCTTGGGGAAAGGTTTTTTTGAAAGTAAGCAATTGTCATGAGTTTAGGCCTAAACCCTAAAAGGAATAGGTTTGGGTGGTTTTGCCGCCTTGGACGGCGTGGGGTGGGAGAAAAGTTGTTGATGGCCCTCCAAAATCGGGCCAGAGCTGCTCTGCGCATTTGACGAGGCATTCGAGCCGCTGCTGCATCCTAACCTTCACAGCATCTACGCCCTTTTACAGCAAAACCCTAAACCCTAAACCCTAAACCCTAAACCCTAAACCCTAAACCCTAAACCCTAAACCCTAAACCCTAAACCCTAAACCCTAAACCCTAAACCCTAAACCCTAAATTTAAGAGCCTCCGGCTCAAGCCGCCGACCCCGCCAGAGCATAGTTGAAAGGTCTAAACCCGCTCGTCGGCTCAAAGGATGCTTTCCTCATCGCATGGTTCGAAGAGCATCGCAGCCTGCTCGGCAGAATCCCCAAAAGTTGTGAAACGCTCGCGCCTCTGTGAAACGTGGGGGGGTAGCACCAGGACCCAAACAGTTTAGGAGCTGAAGCAGCTTGGGGCGGTTTGTTGAACAAAGGCCAGGGGTAGCAGGTGTGGGTGGCCCATGCCTGATTACGATGGGCAGGGGGTCAGGGGGGTTGGGGGGGGGGGGTAGGGGGGGGGTAGGGGTGGGTTTTTTCCACAAAAGCCCCTATGCCCTATGCGAAACCGCCTATGGTCCATGAGTTTACGCGGTGTGGGTGGCCTGGCCCTCCACGGAAAAGCTGCCGGGGTACCCCCCCCCACCCCCCCCCCCCCCCCCCCTTTTGGGGTTTTGGGGGGGTAAGGAGGGAAAAAGGGAGGTTTTCACCTCCAGAAACCTATCCAACACGCCGCCAGGGTCGGCGGACCCTAAACCCTAAACCCTAAACCCTAAACCCCTCAACATGCAGGGCATCCAGCCCCACCTGTTTGCCGAGCTCTTGCTGGGATCGGGCCTCGTTCTCAACGAGGCACGACGGGGATTTTCCTGCTCGTCCTGTGCGGGGTTTAGGGTTTAGGGTTTAGGGTTTAGGGTTTAGGGTTTAGGGTTCAGGGTTCAGGGTTTAGGGTTTAGGGTTTAGGATTTGGGGAATTCCCCCCCCCCCCCCCCAAGATATCACTTCAGGGGGTGATAGGGGGAACCTGATTCCGAAACTCCCTTCTGAGAGCCACTGAGTGATTGGCGAGACTTAGGCCCAAAAGTGTCGTGTAGTGTAGGGTTTGGGGTATCACTGTGGGAGCTCATCGCGTTTGGTGGTTTTTGGGGTTTAGGTCTTGGGGCTTTAGGTTTAGGCAGGGCTGTTGGGGTTCAAGCGCTGTGAGGTTCGGGTCTAGTAAGGTTTAGTAGGGTTTAGGGTTTAGGGTTATAAGTTGGTCGGGTTCAGGGCCTAGTTGTCGAGCTCAGCTGAGGATGGATCAGCAATCAGGAGTTTCAGCATTCCGAATACACCCTAAACCCGAAACCCGAAACCCGAAACCCTAAACCCTAAACCCTAAACCCTGTACCCCAAACCCTAAACCTTATACCCTAAACCCTAGCCCTAAACCCAAAACCCTAAAACCTAAAAACCCGGCTTCAGGACATTCGTTGGATCACGTACCGTGGTGCCAACACCTTCGAGACAAAGACCGAGGCCAGGGACGGGGCAGACGGGGCCTTGGGTTTAGTTTCATGAGTCCCCAAGCGTTTAGGGTTTAGGGTTCAGGGTTTCGGGTTTGGGGTTTAGGGTTTAGGGACCCTAAACCCTAAAACCCTAAAGCCCTAAAACCCTAAAACCCTAAGACCCTAAAACCCTAAAACCCTAAAGCCCTAAAACCCTAAGACCCTAAAGCCCTAAAACCCTAAAGCCCTAAAGCCCTAAAACCCTAAATCCCTAAAATCCTAAAACCCTAAAGCCCTAAAACCCTAAAACCCTAAAACCCCTAAAACGCTAAAACCCCACAATCCTGAAACCTGAAACCCTAAACCCTAGACGCCCTAAGCCCCAAACCCCAATCAAACCCTAAACCCTAGACCCCTTGAATCCTACACCCGCCTTCTGGCATTTGGGGAAAGCTTCGACCTCTCAGGCCTCTTGAGGCCATCGGCCTGCAACCCTAAGTTACTAAACCACAAGCCCTAAACCCTAAATCCCAGACTGCTAGAGCCCCAAGAAGTCCTGAGCCCTAAGCCCTAAAACGCTAAACCCTACATCCCAATTTCTCAAGCCCTAAAGCCCGAACCCCGAAACCCTTAAAACCCTGAACCCCAAACCCTAAACCCTCAACCCTCAACCGTCAACCCTAAACACTGCCTCAAACCCCAAAGCCGCCAACCTAGGGCGATGGGGAGATGGGGCTTGGAGAGCTGAGGGGTGACCCTGGGTTTAGGGTTTCGGTTTAGGGTTTAGGGTTTGGGGTTTAGGGTTTGGGGTTTAGGGTTTGGGGTTTAGGGCTTGGGGCTGAGGGCTTTTTTCGGGCGGAAGAAGGACGACGTATCAGGGTCAGTCTTGAGGGCTTCGGGCTTCGGGCTTGTCTTTTTTATTTTTTTGTGTTGCCTGGGCTCTTCGTCCTAAGCCCTCAGCCCGATGCCCTAAAGCCTAAACCCTAAGCCCTAAACCCCAAACTCTGGACCGCAGCCAAGTTTAGCCAGTCCTTCTTTGCGCGCAGCTTAACAAAGAAGCCCCCTCTCCGCAAGTTCCATCTCGCGCCTCATGTCACTGACTCTGGATCATGCCGGGATAGCCTTCCTGATGGTGGCTGGGTAGGGCTCGGAAGACTTTTTTGCATTGTTTGGATGGAGACCTAAGCCTTAAACCCTAAACCCTAAACCCAAAACCCTAAACCCTAAACCCTAGACCCTAGACCCTAAACCCTAAACCCTAAACCCTCCCTGGGATTCCTGAAGGGCCCGACCCAGGTTCTGGTCGCTGGCTTTGCCACCTGCGTGGGCGCGAGCGCGGTCTTTTGCCAATGCTGCGTGAAGTTGGCCAGCAACTGGGAGAGTCCGCCTTAAACCGTAAACCCTAAGCCCTAAACCCTAAACCCTAAGCCCCAAACCCTAAAACTCTTAGACCCTAAGAGCCCCAAAACCCTTGTAAGGCCCCATACACCCCCCAAAAAGGTGTAACCCTAAACCCTAAACCCTAAACCCTAAACCCTATAAACCCTTCCCCCTAAGCCCTACAAACCCTACAAACCCTGCAAACCCTACAAACCCTACAAACCCTGCAAACCCTACAAATCCTAAACCCTAAGCCCAAACCCCTAATCCCTCAACCCTCAACCCTCAACCCTCAACCCTCAACCCTCAACCCTCAACCCTCAACCCTCAACCCTCAACCCTCAACCCTCAACCCTAAGTACCCTGAACCTCGAAGTGGGACCCAGGCAAGCGCGTGCTGGCAGCCGGCCTGGCCTTCTCGGCGGGCATCATGCTCTATGTCTCTGGGACCTGCTGGGGGGGGGGGGGGGTTTGGGGTTTAGGGTTTGGGGTTTAGGGTTTAGGGCTTTCGGTTTGGGGTTTAGGGTTTAGGGAATGGGTTTAAGCAGGGCTGTATATCTAGGAGAAATAGACACTTTCTAGAGGGTTGAGCCGCAATTCCGAGGTGGGGGTTTTCCGACAATAGGGCACCCTTTTTGGGGGGTTCCCTTAAGGGGATTCTATTTCTCTGTAGGGGTATAAACGGGGTACCCATATTTTCGGAAACCCCAGGTCTCTTTCATCGAGATCTTCCAGAAGGCCAAGGGCGGTTTCGAGGCAGCAGGGCTCGCAGAGAAGCACGCGTACATGGCCTCGACGCTCTGCACCTTTCTGGGGATGCCTCCTGGCTTGCTTCAGGGGCGGAGGTGGTGGGGTTGGGTTTTGGTTTAGGCTTTAGAGTGTAGGGTTAGCTGCTCGTTGCCAGACTATGGTTGAGGAAATACTCGTAATGAAGCTACCATAGCACGTATCATTGCATGGAACTAGTGCTGAGGAATTCAGTTGCCCCAGCCAGGTTGTATGGCAGATGTTAAAGTTTCTTTTGTCACGGTAGCTTATTTGGGGGTTTGCGAAAATCCCCTAAACAGTAGGCTTCCCCTATACTGGGGACCCCAAGAAAGGTACCCCCCAAATTTCGGTAACCACCCTTTTTTGAGTTCCTTAAGCAGCAACTCTCAGGCTCATCATGCGGCTCCTCATCGCAGCCGCGAGGTGCCTGGACCCGGACCACGAGGACTTCGAGCTGGTGATGCCCGGGTGCGATGCCTCCCAGCCTTCCGCCACTGAGGGGACTGAGGCCCCTGCTGCGGACATCAGGGAGATCAGCAAGGAGGAGACTTGGGTTTAGGGTTTGGGGTTTAGGTCTTAGGGCTTAGGGCTTAGGGCTTAGGGTTTAGGGTTTAGGGTTTAGGGTAAGTGCTGTTGCTGCCGGGGGGGGGGGTTTTCCGATAGGAGGTCGGGTACTTTACTTGGGCTCCCTAGTAGAAGGGAATCCTCCTACGTGGGGGACTATACTAGGCGCCCGCTGTCTTCGTAAAGCCCCACATCGAGTTGGCCTGAGGTTTCTTGGAAGTCACCATGAGTGGGTAGCCTTTTGGCCCCAAGACGAGCATGTATGATCGTGTCATCGTAGAATGGGGAAGCATGGTCTTACTCAAGGCGTACTCCTCCGACATTATTCTTTAAGCGCAGTTGAGGAGAAGGAGGGCCTAAACCCTAAACCCTAAACCCTAAACCCTAAACCCTAAACCCTAAACCCTAAACCCTAAGCCCTAAACCCTAAACCCTAAACCCTAAACCCTAAACCCTAAACCCTATAAACCCTTCCCCCTAAGCCCTACAAACCCTACAAACCCTACAAATCCTAAACCCTAAGCCCTAAACCCCAACCCTAAACCCCAAACCCTGTAAAAGGTGTTTTTTTTTTCAAAGCGCACCTGAGGAGAAGAAGGGGCAGCAGGAGAAGCGGCTCCTCCGAATGGGCTTAAACACGGCCCTGGCCATCACCATCCACAACTTCCCCGAGGGCCTAGCGGGCATGGTCGCCGGGCTGCCCTTGAGGGCAATTTTATCGGGTTTAGGGTTTAGTTTAGGGTTTAGGGTTTAGGGTTTAGGGTTTAGGGTTTAGGGTTTAGGGTTTAGGGTTTAGGGTTTAGGGTTTAGGGTTTAGGGTTTAGGGTTTAGGCTTGAGGGTTGAGGGTTTAGCGTTTAGGGTTTAGGTACATTTTTTGTTCAGGGTTTTTTTTGGGGGGGTTTGGCGTTTTGGCTGCCCAATTTGGGGTATTTTAGGGCATTGGGTCAGATGCTTGAGGTGTTGTTTTTTTGTGAAGTTTTTTATTTGGGGGGGGGGGGGGGTGAGAGTTCTCTCTGGGTTCCCACCACCACCCCAAAACCCCCGAAACCCTAAACCCCAAACACAACCCCGACGAGGGGGGGGAGGAACCCTAAACCCTAAGCCCTAAACCCTAAACCCTAAACCCTCAGCCCTCAACCCTAAACCCTAAACCCCAAACCCCAGGTGGCGGGGCTCATAGACCCGACAGTGGGTTTCACCCTGACCTCGGCGATTGCCATCCACAACATCCCGGAGGGACTCTGCATCGCGCTGCCCATCTACTACTCCACAGGCTCAGGGTTTAGGGTTTAGGGTTTAGGGTTTAGGGTTTTGGGTTTTGGGTTTTGGGTTAAGGGCTCGGGGTTTGTGGTTGAGGGTTTAGGGTTGAGGTTGCTACAGCAGTTGGAACATCAAGCCAGTGGCTACTTCTTCATCTAGGACCCAGAGTACGTAGGCCCACATTTCCTCTTTTTTTTAGGGTTTAGGGTTTAGGGTTTGGGGTTTAGGGTTTAGGGTTTGGGGTGTAGGGTTTAGGGTTTAGGGTTTTGGGGTTTTGGGTCCCCTTCTAAGCCCCTTAAAACGCCAACCAGGGCACCCTTTTCTTCCTAGGCCACTCTTGGGTCTAGTTGTCCCCAAGGCTAGTTTCATGGGCCCTGAATACGGTCCCCTTACCTTCTTTAAAGGGTTTAGGGTTTAGGGTTTAGGGTTTAGGGTTTAGGGTTTAGGGTTTGGGGCCCTGAATCTATACTGGGTATATAAGGGGTCTATAAGCGGTCGTCCCCTCTTTCAGGGCCCCCTACTGAGGACCATGACCCTCAACCCCAAACCCCAAACCCTAAACCCGAAACATCCTAAACCAAAAAAACATCCCTAAACCCCCAAGCCCCCCCAGACCCCGCAGGTAGCCGTCTCAGGGGCTTCTTGAACCCTCAACCCTAAGCCCTAAACCCTAAACCCTCAACCCTCAACCCTCCACCCTCAACCCTCAACCCTAAACCCTAAACCCTCAACCCTAAACCCTAAACCCTAAACCCTAAACCCTGAACCCAGAACAGGAAGCCGTCTCAGGGGCTTCTTGCTTTCGGCGGCCGCTGGGTTAGCCGAGCCGGTCGGAGCGCTGATCGCCTGGGGCATCGTGGGCGCCAGCGGCGAGGACATGCGACCTGAGATGGACAATGAGGGGCCCTGTAAAAGGGTTTAGGGTTTAGGGTTTAGGGTTTAGGGTTTAGGGTTTAGGGTTCAAAGGGATCATTCTTTGGTTCGGTTTGTGCGTTTTGCTGTTTCTGGGTGTGCGGTTTTAAGGTCTTGATGGTTGATGTTTTGGGTTTTAAGAGTTTGGGGTGTTAAGAGTTTGGAGGTTGTTTCCTCAACCCTAAACCCTAAACCCTAACCCTAAACCCTAAACCCAAAACCCCCCCCCCCCAGCCCCCCCAAACTCTGACTACCACCCAGCTGCTCATCTCAGGCATGGCACGATCTATGGCATCCTCTTCGGCCTTGTTGCCGGAAATCCGGGCTCATTGTTTGGCACACGCTTCTGCGCTAGTTGTCCTAAACCCTAAATCCTAAACCCTAAACCCCAAACCCCAAACCCCAAACCCTAAACCCGGCACGTTGGACCCTCAGCCCTGAGCCTGGGCCTTCTGCTTTATTCGGTTCTACATAGAAGGGTTTAGGGTTTAGGGTTTAGGGTTTAGGGTTTAGGGTTTAGGGTTTAGGGTTTAGGGCTTAGGGTTGAGGGTTCCAGGAGTAGTTCCCAAACCTCAAGGAATCATGATCATGATCGTCGCGCTTGAGCTCCTTCCGACAGCGCACCGCTTCGACCCGAAGGAGACCTGCTGGGTTCATAAGGGGGTTTAGGGTTTAGGGTTTAGGGTTTAGGGTTTAGGGTTTAGGGTTTAGGGTTTAGGGTTTAGGGTTTAGGGTTTAGGGTTTAGGGTTTAGGGTTTAGGGGGGAAGGGTTTAGGGGGGAAGGGTTTAGGGGGGAAGGGTTTAGGGGGAAGGGTTTGTAGCTGTGGGAGGGGCTACGGAGTTGAGGATTTTTTAGCGGGGTATTGACCCAAACCCTACACCCTAAACCCGAACCCCCAAGCCCTGCAGTAGGCTTAGCCTCTGCAAAGGCAGACATGCTGCTGTTTACAGTATTTGCAACCTCTGAAAATGCAGACATACACCTACTTACAGTATTTGCAGCCCCTGCAAGCGCAGAAATGCTGCCATGTACAGTATTTGCAGCCTCTGAAAAATTCTGCTATTGGCAAGCCAAGCCGAGCCACAACTTCAAGAAGAACCGGCCCAAGCCACTCCTTGAAAGCAATCAAACCCTCCGCCGGGCTTAGTGGCGGGTGGAAGGGTGTAGGGACTTGGGGTGAGGGGGAGTTGAAAAGGGTTAAGGGTTTAGGGTAAACCCCGAAACCTAAGCCACGAAACCTCAAGCCCTAATCCCTAAACCCTAAACCCCAAACCCGGTTGAAAAGGGTAAGCGCTAAACCCCGAAACTTCAAGCCCTAAGATGGCTTAGGGTTTAGGGACCAGGGGTTAGAGTTCAAAGAGGTGATCCCCTTCCCCCTTCTCAACCCCAGAAACCCAAAACCCAGAACCTTAAACCCTAAACCCTCAGCCCTCATTCCTTCTCCCACGGAGCTTCGAGGATACTGTGGTGACGCATGCCCTCGTGGCAGGGAATCTTGGTATTTTTTTGATTTTGGAAGGGTTTTAGGGTTTAGGGTTTAGGGTTAGGGTTTAGGGTCCTGGGGTTTCGATTTTGTTTTTTGGTTAAATGGTCCAGGGTGATTTTGGAGCTGCGGTTTGGACCCTAAAGCCTAAACTCTAAACCCTGAACCCTCAGCTCTAAGGCGTAAACCCTAAACCCTAAACCCTAAACCCTAAGCCCCAAGCCCTCAACCCTAAACCCTAAACCCTAAGCCCTAAACCCTGAGCCCTAAGCCCTAAACCCTAAGCCCTAAACCCTAAGCCCTAAACCCTGAGCCCTAAGCCCTAAACCCTAAGCCCTAAACCCTAAACCCTAAACCCTAAGCCCTAAACCCCAAACCCTAAACCCCAAACCTACCAAACCTTCAGCCCCAATCCCGAACGTCCAAGGATGCTGGTCATGGCCACGTCCCTGGTCCTCTTCATGGTGTGAGGGTCAGTCGCGGTCTTTGGGGTTTAGGGGTTTTAGGGGTTTTAGGGGGTTTAGGGGGTTTAGGGGTTTTAGGGGTTAGGGGGATTAGGGGGGTTAGGGGGTTTAGGGGGTTTAGGGGGTTTAGGGGTTTTAGGGCTCAAGGGGGCTTTGGGGCTTGATCCTCTGTGTGGGGAACATACAACCCCACAGGAACGAGCCGCGTTTTTTGGTTTACTTCGCCCAGGGACCTGGGTTTAGGGTTTAGGGTTTAGGGTTTAGGGTTTAGCATGCCCAACTAGAAAAGCCAGCTGTCCACAACTGGGCAGTGGGGGTTTCCGAAGCTGAGGGGTTTAAGGCTAGGGTTTAGGGTTTAGGGTTTAGGGTTTAGGGTTTAGGGTTTAGGGTTTAGGGTTTAGGGTTTAGGGTTTATGGTTTGGGGTTTGGGGTTTAGGGCTTAGGGTCTAGGGTCTAGGGTTTAGTGTGCATCTATTCTCTTTGGGGGCATAGGAAGGGGGGGGGACCCTCTCATGTTTGGAAATGCCCAAAAGTTGCAAGTTTTTCCCGGCCGTGCCGCGAGGGGCAGGAGTTCTCCAGAAGCGGCATTGGGAGTTGTGAAGTCGCACCTAGGTTTTGCCCAAAACCTAAACCCTAAACCCTAAACCCTAAAACCTACACCCTAAACCCTAAACCCTAAACCCTAAACCCTAAACCCTAAACCCTACACCCTACACCCTAAAAACCCTAAACCCTAAACCCTAGACCCTCTCTATCCTTATGGATTTAAACCCTATGAACTTTTCGGTGCATTTACCCCCCGTTGTTGAGCACTTGTTGGTGCAATCGGCACCGTTCTTGAGTCATTTTTGGTGCGTCGGCACCGTTCTTGAGCCATTTTTGGTGCATCGGCACCGTTCTTGAGCACCAAAATCGGCACTGTTCTTGAGCCATTTTTGGTGCAATCGGCGCCGTTCTTGAGCCATTTGGTGCAATCAGCACCGTTCTTGAGCCATTTTTGGTGCGTCGGCACCGTTCTTGAGTCATTTTTGGTGCGTCGGCACCCTTGAGCCATTTTTGGTGCGTCGCCACCGTTCGTGAGCCAGTTTTGGCACATTGGCACCGTTCTTGAGCCATTTTTGGTGCGTCCCGTTCTTGAGCCATTTTTGGTGCGTTGGCACCGTTCTTGAGCCATTTCACCGTTCTTGAGCCATTGTTGGTGCGTCGGCACCGTTCTTGAGCCATTTTGGGTGCGTCGGCACCGTTCTTGAGCATATTTTGGTTCGTCGGCACCGTTCTTGAGCCATTTTTGGTGCGTCGGCACCGTTCTTAAGCCATTTTTGGTGCGTTGGCACCGTTCTTGAGCCATTTCACCGTTCTTGAGCCATTTTTGGTGCGTCGGCACCATTCTTGAGCCATTTTGGGTGCGCCGGCACCGTTCTTGAGCATTTTTTGGTTCGTCGGCACCGTTCTTGAGCGTCGGCACCGTTCTTGAGCCATTTTTGGTGCATCGGCACCGTTCTTGCGCCATTTTTGGTGCGTCGGCACCGTTGATGAGTGAACGTTATATTTCTTAATGTAAATGGGATTCTTTGGGTGGGTGGGTATGTACCTAAGCCTGGAACCTCCTAATGACTAGTGAATGCAAGAACAGTGGCCCTCTAGACCCTAAACCCTAAACCCTAAACCCTAATTTCCCAGCCAGCCGCACATCTCCGACCAGCAGTGCTTTTGCGTCAAGAGGCCCATGATTTCGGGGCTTCATAGACTTGGCACGGGCGTCTGCGGCGCCCCGTTTCGTTGCCATGGACCCCAAACTTTCATAACACATAAGGGATTTGCAGGGATTAGCGTTTAGGGTTTAGGGTTTAGGTTCAGGGTTCAGGGTTTAGGGTTTAGGGTGTAGGGTTTAGGGTTTAGGGTTTAGGGTTTGTGTATATGTGCATGTATATATGTATACCTGTATATACACGTATAATATGTAGATGTAGAAGGAGATGATGAAACCGAGAAAGATCGGGGCCCTACTGTTTTAGAGCTAACCCAGATTTGTTTCTTCTTGTGTCCGCACGAGAAAATTCGTCATGGCCGGCAGTTCGGCTATATGCTGCGGCGGTATCGGCGTCGGAAGAGTTTTAAGACTTGTAGAGACCGGATCCGTGCGTGCGATTCCCCCAGCACAAGGCAATACCAGACCATACGCGCGGGATCCAAGATCAATAACGCTGTTCTGGGTTTAGCGAAGAGTGCACCTGCAACTGGAGAAGGGTTCTTGTGGTGACGTAAGGCTTAAGGCCCAGTCCGTGATCTTAGGATGTTCCCCGTTATGCAAACAACTCCTGAATCAGGGATTATAGCACCCCTCTTACAATCCCTATTAAGGACTGTTAGTGTAAGGGGGAGCATCCCAAGGTATTTGCCTTGTGGCGCATGTGCCTTTCATGCATGTGGATCCATGTTTGTGGCGTGTTCCGTGGTAGCTGGGCACATATGAGGCGCCCTGAACCTTCTTGCACAAGTCTCGAGGCCATAAAGCCACAAAAAGTGCGCAGAACCACCCAAAAGCCCAAAGACCGGGGGCACCCAACCCACCCCCGAACCCCTGAACCATAAATGTAGACCCAAACACCCCCCAGTCTAGCTGTCACAGATTCCCTCCTCCATCCTGCTTAGGGGTTTAAGGAATTTTTAGGGTTTAGGGTAATTGGTTTAGGGTTTAGGGTACCCCTAAACCCTAAGCCCTAACCCCCAAGCCCTAAACCCTAAACCCTAAACCCTAAACCCTAAACCCTAAACCCTAAACCCCAAACCCTAAACCCTAAACCCCCAAACTTTGGGTTTTAGGGATCTCGTGTCCCGTGCAGGATGGGCACCCGGGCAGGCCGGCTGAAGCGCCCGACCCCCGTTCGTGCTCGGGTTTTCGGGCTTTAGGGCTTCAGGGTTTAGGGTTTAGGGGTCTAGGGCTTTAGGGTTTAGGGTTTAGGGTTTAGGGTTTAGGGTTTAGGGTTTAGGGTTTAGAGTTTAGGGTTTAGGGTTTAGGGGTTTAGGGATGTTTAGGGTTTAGGATGTTTAGGGTTTTGGGCTGTAGGGCTTTAGGGTTTAGGGTAGTAGGGTTTTAAGGTTTTAGGGCTTGAGGCGTTTAAGGCCTTTGGGTTTCAGGGCTTTTATCAAGGGATTAAGACTTGTACCCTTAAGGATGTACCCCTAAGAGGTCCCCTTAAAATACTCCTGACATGGCCCCTATATATCCAAAGGGAGTCCCATGATTGTAGGGCTTTAGGGTGGAGGGTGTTTATGCTTGTAGGGTGGAAGGGGTTTTAGGGCTTTTGGGTTTCCAGGGCCTTACGGTTTCAGGGCTTCAGGTTCAGGGTGCTCGTAGAGGCTTTACGGTTGGTGGTTTAGGGGCTCGGGGTTTTGGAGGTGTGGAACTTTGTTGGTTTATTTTTGTGTTGGGTTTAGGGTTTAGGGTTTAGGGTATAGGGTTTAGGGTTTATAGGGTTTAGGGTTTAGGGTTTAGGGTTTAGGGTTTAGGGTTTAGGGTTTAGGGTTTAGGGTTTAGGGTTTAGGGTTTAGGGTTTAGGGTTTAGGGTTTAGGGTTTTGTTACCCCCCAAACCGACATCATCCCGAAAAGCCCATAGCAGTCCCTCAAGCCCTTAGAGCCCAATGCCCCAAAAAGCCAACAAACCCTAAAACCCCTAGAACCCTAAACCCCTAATCCCTTAAAACTCTGACACCCCCAAAACCCTAAACCCGAAACCCCTGGAACCCTAAGCCCCTTAAACCCCAAACCCCCAAAACCCTAAACCCTAACCCTAAACCCAAAACCCTAAACCCGAAACCCATAACGCCTGCCCGAGGCCCTGGGTACAGTTCGCTGGATTGTGCCCTCGCCGCCGAAGCTCATCAGGGTTGAGTGGGGTTTCAGGGTCGCAGGGTTTAGGGTTTAGGGTTTAGAGCGTTTAGGGTTTAGAGTGTTTAGGGGTTACAGGGCTTTTAGGGCTTTAGAATGTTTACCCTAAACCCTAAACCCTAAACCCTAAACCCTAAACCCTAAACCCTAAACCCTAAACCCTAAACCCTAAACCCTAAACCCTAAACCCTAAACCCTAAACCCTAAAGGTTAAGATGCCTCAAGAGCTGTGAGCCCCAGACCTCCCCAACAAGTCCCCGAACCCGACCTTCGAGAAGCCGGGGCCATAAATCCCGAAACACTAAATCGCTGTGAGACTGCGCGGGTTTAGGGTTTAGGGTTTAGGGTTTAGGGTTTGGGGTTTAGGGTTCAGGGTTTAGGGTGTAGGGTTTAGAGTGTTTAGAGTTTAGAGGGTTTAGGGCGTTCAGGTTTAGGATTTAGGTTTAGGTTTAGGGTTTGGAGTGTTTTGGGTTCAGAGCGTTTAGGGTTTAGGGTTTCTATGTTGGGTCCCAGGGCCTCAGGGTCTAAGGGGTTTAGGGCCTCCAGGGTTTGAGGACTTTTCGGTTTTTCGGGCTTGTAGGGTATCAGGGTCTAAGGGTGTTCGGGCTTAGGGTTTGGAGGTTTGTCGGTGCACACTGGAGAGAATAGGTTACGACTTGGATCATACGTACAAGTTGTGAGCAGGTTTAATAAACAGTTCAACAAAGGCACGCAGCACTGCAGCACCCAAGGCACCCTGAGACCACCTTTGCCCTCAGAGGGACAATGCCGATCGCTCACGGCGTTGTTGCGGAAGTCCGCGATCGCGCGCAACGGCGGCGGCAGGGTCCCCATCGCCACGGCGTGCGAGCAGATCCGGTGCGAGATTGGGACCCTGCGTCGCATCGTCGACGAGGACAGGAAGCGCAGGTTCTGCATCGTCTCCGCACCTCCAAGCAATCCTCAAAACCCCAAAGCCCTACACAGGCTTGGGGTCTGGAGGTGGGGGCGGCCTAAGGCTTTGGGTTTAGGGTTTTTCAAAGGGTAGTTTCAAGGGATAACGGGTATAGGGAGGGACCCCTGCAAGGGACCCTTACTCTAATTCCCCTAATCGACCCCCCATATATCCCTTATATA